CATCCACATCCACATCCATCTGTTGACAGTAGAAGCTGTCCCTGATTTAATCTGTATCAAATAATGTTTGTCATGAGATCTGCATTTCCCCTTTTTCCCTTAGGCAGTCTCATGGCCCAATGTAATCAGGGGCGTGAATACTAAATAAAAGAGGTTGAACTACAGGGAGTCCCTCAGAACGGTGGATTTGGATGTACGAGAGACTTCCTGTCCAGCGTTCTCCTCACTTTGATTCTAAGCCATGGTTTGATTGTCTCATTTGCTCCCCTGTTTTTGTATGTATTTAGGAAAATACCTATCACATTAGTAGGTCTACATGATAATTTCTGAATTTATATACAGTCTAACTAGTCAACAATCCAATAAAGTCCATAAAGTCAGTAAATAAAATATTTGACAACAGATAAAATTGATTTTAAATAAGGTTAAACATGAACATTGAAGCTGTTTAATGTTAGCATGCAGGTTTTACAATGAAAATAATGTGTAATATTTACCTGTGAGACATAACCCTTTTATCTCTTGTAAACATGTTGTAACAATTTCTGCAGTTTATAGCAAAATATTTGTACCATTTGTACATTTATAAAGCGTTTGTTTGCACCGCGCTACGTTCTGCTCTTTGATTTCAATGGTTAGCATTAGCATTAGCTCAATGCATAAAAATCCGCCTTGCGAAGCACGCYCAGGTCACGTGACGCCCAATCCAGTGATATATATATCAATGCCAGAACCTCCCCTMTGTTGTTGTTCATGCCATGTCTCCGTTGAAAGGAATGCGCAGCAGTTTTTGCATTTCTCTGTAACCAACTCAGTTGGAGTCACATTGAGTTCATCTTGTCCCAAAGCGGCGCCTGTCGCGGGGCCTGCTGCGTCCGACGAGGAGGACTCGGAAGCGTCCTCAGCCTCCCAGCACGCGCCGGGACAGGAGAGGAGGAACGGCACGAGTCCGGCCGCGGCCGACGGGGACCGGCAGTATTTTTGGAGGGACGGACACCAAGACACGATGGCGGAATTTTGGCTCCGCCACCCTATCTTCTACGATAAAGCGCAGCAGCATTACAAGAACAAAGAGATGAAGCGGCAGCTCATGCAGGAGTTGATTCAGCAGAACTGTGAGAACTGGGAGAAGCTCCAGAGCCCCCTGCCGACCGGTGAGTAAAACAGCATTTATATAGCCAATTTTTATTTTAACATTGAATTAGGGCTGGGCGGTATGACCTCAAATTCATATCATGGTATAAATTGAATCCCTTCATGGTAACGGTATATACTGTATCACAGTAGAAAATAATCATAAAAAGCAAAGATATTGTAATTTTTAGAGCATTTATTTAGCAGAAAACTGTAATCATAATCAATCCCAGCATTTTAAGAACAAAAGAATGTTCTATATATATTGCAAAACGGTTTCAACAACAAACATTTCTCAAAGTTTCAACAACATCTAAATAAAGTGGATGTTATAACCAGTACTTCAAGTAAAATTAGTCATTTAGCCATAAAAAYRTTCTAAGTTGTCTAAAATGTGCGACAGGACCTTAAGGGGCTTAAGCTGCACATAGTCCTGTCATAAAACAATTTCAGATAACTGGAATGTAAGTGTGGTGAAGCCAAATAAATGCAACATCTGCCTGCCGTACAATGAGCTTCTGCATGCTGAACTGACCCTCTGCTCTGCTGCGCTCTCATCTTCATCATCTTCATCATCAGAGCAGAACTGTTACATTATCAAGATGGATTTATGACTGAACGAAMGTCCATCTTTTTTTATCATCTCTGTGGGAAACAAAACATAAAAAAACAAGTTTTTTTCTCAGACAACTTGGGTGTGAAAAAACTACGGTTGTTAAAGCTTCACTCTGAGCGACGTGCAGCGGGAGGGAGAAAATGATCCCGCGACACGACGTAACTTTTATACAGCAGGAGGGGCAATTTTGAGGATTTATTCTCTGCGTGTTTTAAAACACTATAATTCTTCATTATATTTGAAACTCCTCCTGCTCACTTGTCTCTGCACTCAGTCATGTTGACACAGATGCGATGATGTAACTGACGACAGGACGGTAGAGGGTAAATTTGTACTGTAGACCAACTTCTTATTGTTTCTACAGTCTATCGTATATACCGCACAGCCCTACACTGAATCTAGCTTTTTTAAAATCACCAGATAGTCTATTTATTACAAGACAATGTTAGTAAAAATACTTAGATTTCTTTTGTGTTGTTTTAATGTTCCAGTTACACAAGTGGATGCACATTTGCGTAACATGCGAACCCGATTTGTGAAGCTGCTGAAACGCAAATCTGCCGAGCCTGGGCTGTTACTGTCCTACACGGACCTGAAGATCTGGGAGCGGTACCACTTCCTCAGCCCGTACATTCAGCGTGGCAGGACCTCGGCAACGCACCCTGTGAGAATGAAAGAAAACGTAGCGTGTCGCTTCAGATAGCGCGTCCTGTCTTTAACTTTTCTGCTGTGCTCGCAGGTTCCTGGTGACCAGCCTGGAGGTGATGCTGCTGCTGCTGCTGCTGAGGGAGATGCTGATGACAAGACTCKGCTGTGGAGTCAGCAGCCCTCCACCTCCAAGATCCGGACCAAAAAGAAAGGAAAGAAGAAACCCAGAAGACCAGTCACTTCGCTGTTATCGTCCTCGCTCCTGGACAGCGAGGACATATCAAAGATGGAGGTGACAGCCTTGTAAACCGGAGAACTCGCTCGTCTTTATATATATWTTTTTTTCGTTGGCGTAATTTTGCRTTTGTGTGTTTTCAGATTCTGCAGCAGGCCAAGAACCTGATCTGCAACATCAGGAGCCCGACACGGAGCGACCACGAGCGGCGGGTCCGAGACTTCAGCCGGTACATGGAGTCCGAGATGCTTCGGATCCCGGAGTCTTCGTGGGACGAGTGTAGTTTCGCCATAATGAAYGTGATCCGAGGGTTCAAGGCTGCTCAGCAACCGGGTCAGCTGGCCGTGTCGCAGCAGCCGGYCTACCAGCAGGTACACTACCTGATACCTTTGTTTCTGTATTTTTCAGCTAGATAAAGATAAGAAGATAAAGCATTGTTTAAACATTTGAATAATTTTTCATTTCTTTCAGAGTCATGGAGGCCGGTACCTGCAGCAGGGAGAGTATCACTCACAGCAGAGTGGTACGTTTTAGCCGYAGAGTGGTCAAGATGGTGATCATCATGGTCAGCACTTCTGGACCCGACAATGAACTCCAGTTTGGGTCTGGACACTGGGTCAACACCAGTTGGACACGCCCCTCGTGATGCCCGCCGCATCAGCCGGTGCAAACATCTGTTAGAACTAAAGACAGGACCAGAAGCTGGAAGTTGAAGCCACAAAGACTGAGTGGCCCCAAGWAGGCTGGCTGCAGTACATTTTTTAAGTTACTCCATAAAAGCAAATGAAGCATTTTCTTGTCTCCAGTTCTTAGACTCTTGACTCTAAAAATACAACACGGCAGCACCCAAAAATATTAGCATTTTAGCTCCTGTTTCCTGTTCTCCATCCGACTGTGGAAGTCAGACAGGAGCTGTTTGTGGTCAAAAAGTAAACAGCCGCTGGTTTAGGATTATTTTTGTTTTAAACCAAAGAGTCACTCAAACCTTTTATTCTGAAAAAGATGAGAAATAGAGAAAGCTCACCTGACAGGAAGCAAAATGTTTTGAACTAAAGAATAAGAGTCCACTTGTCCCTTTAAAGTTTTTTTTTTTAGGATTTTTCTTGTCCTGGATGGTTGAGAATCTACACTGTAATAATTAAAGTAAATACTTTTATATAAATCATCAGGCAGTTTGTGTTTAACAGCTGATAATTATCAGCTTAACACAAACTGTGACGCTTCAGTTTATTTCCATCTGTTGATCAGTGGATAAAAACTTCCTGCGTTTGTCTGCTTCTTAAAACATGTTTCATTAAATTTGGCTGTTTTTTTTGCCAAATAYCCTGTAAATGAGTTGAACAAAACGTGCATCTTAATCACAGAATAAAGATGCATTTTATATTGCTTTTCTAATTAATCTCATCTTTAGCACTTATTAATGTTTTGGTTGTCCTTAAACTATTCCGAAGTTCTTATTTCAAATTTAGAGCCATTATGAAGTAGTTTTGCAATTTTGTTTGTTTTTCTTAAAACAAACTTTTCTCTTGAAATCATTTAATTATTAATTTAAAATAGGGGTTGAGTTGCTGCCACGTGTCCAACATTTGGGCTGAAACCTGACAGGAAGTCCCAGTTCTCTGAAGCCCTGGACGTCTAACATTTCATAGTCGTGGTTGTAGAAATCTTGGTACATCTCTGACACTGACTGGTGTTGGGGGCCATCAGCTTGTTGTGAGAGTCACCCATGGATAAATACCTCAGAGTGAAGGCCAGCTTCAGTCCTGAAGCTTTTTGTAGTTGGTTGGTTTCTTCTGAATCTAGGGGTCAGGTCTGTCTGGGTTCATTCTGACAAGGTTCCTTAAACCAGTGGTTCCCAAACGTTTTGTCTTCTGACCCACAAAATATCCATGGCAAAAACTTGTGACCCCAAATATTACTG